ATTTGCCAGATGTAATTCTAAATCTTGCTGTTATAGTGTAGTCAAGTGTAAGAAACATTGTACATATTCCACATATCAGTGTTTTTTCGTCCACATGAATGACGTTCCATAGTAAAGCAAAGCTACAGAAACTTCAGGAAGAGACAAGGGGAGGAGACTTTACTAGGGTAGACATTGATGGTTCCTGAAGACAGATGGTCTGATGTCATTGAAGGAGGTGGAGCTGACGGCCATGAGGTGTGGTACCCGCCGTCACTGGTTATGTTCTATATTATGCCCTTGAACTCTGCACTGGATTGATCTAGGCTTCATTTGGCACATTGTCATGCACAAAATATCATGGTTTACATGTGCCCAGGCTCAGAGTTTCTGGAGAATTTTCCAGCTGTCTTTGTGGCTACTCTGATACTCAATGGGGTCATTCACCTTACAGTGCCTCGGGGATGCCTCCGGGTCTGTTGAGGGTGCGTGTGTACATTTGAAACTCCGCTCCTTGGAATGGAAGGAGAGAATGTGGGGTTCCCTTAGAAAAATGAAGGGGGATGGTTGCTGTTTTGGTTTCCTGGTTCCAAAACTCGGGAGTTGCATACTTGACCTCTCGGGCATGCGTCAGTGTCAGGCGGGGCAGCTGGTGACCCTGGAAGTCGGGGGCATCCTGCCACCCCTCACCTCAGAGCCTCCTCCAGTGGCCCGATTCCTGCAAGTGTTTGCTGCCAGCACTCCAGGTGTGCGGTAGACACCCCACAAAGTCTTCATCAAGACCTGAGTCCTGTGATCTTCGCGATTGAGAAATGCGGAAGGGTTTGGGGATTGAATGGATAGCCACGTTCTTCTAGGTGACTCCTTGGTGCCAAGGTTAATTCTATGACAGTTAACCTGAAAACCACCTCGGGGGACATACAAGGCTCCTCTTCTCTTGATGTTAAATTCAGTGGGTTGAGGCCCATGGAAATGCAAAGGGCTAGTGACCTTAATTCAAGGCTCAACGCCCTCTGAGGTCTGTATCGGTAGCATCAAAGTGATAATCTGGAAGTCTTTAGCCAGGAGACCACTTGAGCAGGGAGGCACGTGCCTCTGCTCTTTCTGCCACTGGACAACCTAGGCACATCGTTTCAAATACTACTGATACAAACATGCATCATCCTCTGCTCTTTCTGCTTCTCGATGCTTTGAAATAACAAGGCTGAGTATCCTTTGACTGTTTGACAGATGTGTAGTCTGTTCATTTTAATTGTAGTAGAAGCCTTTTTAATTGTGTTAGTAGGAAGTTCCTGCAGTAATAATCCCTGGGAAGGGAGGTATTTTGTCATGAGTTGTGCTGACCATAGCTCAGCCCCCTTTGCTGAGGAGAACCTTTAGCAGCAACTCTGGTGGTTCAGTGAGGGTCCATGCAGGTGCGTGCACCCGAGAAGGAGCTCTGCTGGCCCAGGTGTGAGCAGTGGAGTGGAGTCTCACCTGTGCCTTATTGGTCCTGTGGGGACTTGTCTCAGGCAGCTAGGCTGTGACCTTCCAGGTGGCGTGCTCTCCAACCCACGATAGACCCTCGGATTATCAGCCTGCACCACGGAACCTGAAGATCCTTCTCAGAAGAAAATGCTGAGGTCCTTCTCTCTCCATCAGACCATTTCCTTGTGGAAAACAACCAGGAGATGATTTTGTCTTACTGAAGCCAGAAACTGAGCATCATTCCTCAGGCTCTGTGACTTCAGAACATGACATTCGTGTCTCAGAAAACTTATTTTTAGGGGCACCTGGGTGGCTCAGTTGGTGAAGCATCTTCCTGTGGCTCAGGTCATGATCTCGGGGTCCTGGGATCGAGCCCCGCATCAGGCTCCCTGCTCAGCGGAGAGCCTGCTTCTCCCTCTCCTTCTGCCCCTCCTCCTGCTGGTGTTCTCTCTCTCTCAAATAAATAAATGAAATCTTTAAAAAAAAAAAAAGTTTTTTTAAAAAGAAAGAAAACTTATTTTTAAACAAAAGAATCCTTTGGCGCCGCACAGTTCAGAATGGGATAAAATGATGGAGTATGTGAACATTTCCTCTATCAACCGGTTCTGTGCCCACCAGATTTGCCACAAAGGGCCGCATGAGAGCCAGTTTTCCAAATCCTGAATGTCATTCACTGAACTGAACCATTTAGTCTTGTGCATGTATTTATTCTCCACCCTAGTTCTTGGGGTGGGCGGAGAAAGCTCATCTTTCCATGAGGAGTTTGCAGCAGGAGGGACTGGAGTTCCTGGGTGGTTTGGCCAGGGCGTGTGGAGCATCCAGGGGAATTTGCACGATGGGCCCTGCCGGGTCACAGCAGAGCTGGGACAGCCTGTTGCTGTCGCCTTGCTGAGGCGGCCGAGCTTGAGTAAGGCCAGCTGTCTGCAGGGCACATCGGCCGGCCAGCCAAGAGGCTCCCCCAGGATCTCCCCTCAGCTGACACGGGCTCTGCCACGGGAACGTGAATCTGATGGGAAAATAGCAAGGCCGTTAGGAAGGGGTCAGAGTGGGCATGTTCCAAGGACCAGGGACCAGGGACAGAATGGTCTGTAGGCCCCAGGCCTGTGCAGAGCCAGAACATCTGAAGCCCATGCCCCCTAGACACCTTTGCCCCATTTCTGCCCTGCTCCACCTCCTGAGAGCCGGTGAACTGCCCCTTTGGCAAAGGACAAAATTGGCCCAACACCACCTAGTCATCGTGGGGCCACACATCCGAAGTGTGTTCACAAGAGGGACTTTCTGTGAGCTGTCCTCACGTTTGTGAGAATCCTTCTTGGGAGCGTGATTGCTGCTTCCTGACTGGGAGCCTGGGACAGAACAGACCGCGTGGAGGGACGTGTCCACGCCGGCCTATCGGAGGCTCCGGGGTCATCGGAGAGACCAAGGAGAGACTTCTTATGGGGTGACGTAACTTGGCACCTGTCTGTGTTGCAGGAGGGTTGGAGGTGACGGGCTGAAGTCAGGTGTGGTCTGGCTTTTCTTGAAGAGTCAAAAAGAATCATTCGCAAGACCTTGTGACCGGGGAGGTGGTCACCATCCTGACAGCCCAGCCCTTCAGAGGAGCGGCCCTCAACTGAGGAGGGGACATGGGCATCCCAAGGAAAAGGCACACAGGGAGCCCCGTGAGGGCCAGAGTCTACGTGGTTTATTCAGAGTCCTCTGGAGGCAAGATGCAGCTTCCCAAAGCCGGGGCAGCTGGAGGCAGCCGTTCCCAAAGGATGGGTAGGAGGCTCCATGAGGAGACGGGCCCATGGAGGACCACAGCCCCAACACCGTGTGGAGGGGGCATCCGCCCGCAGGGTCCAGGCTCCGGGGTCAAGTGTGCGCTGGGTTTCGGGCGTCTCAGTGCTTGAAGGAGCAACAGGGGCGACTTGGAGAGCAGGCACCAGTCTTGCCTCCAGCGATGGGCCGGGGTGGGCAGAGCTGTTCTGCAGAGTGGGCTCGAGCTCTGAGGAAGAATTTAACAGATGGACGGGACAAGAACCCCCTTCCAGCTGAGGGCGGAGCAGGTGTGAGGTCTGAATTTCTGAACTGTGGACTTCTGTCCGTCACTCTCCTCACCTGCAATCCCACCTCTTCCTCTGGGCTCCTGTCTTGTGTGCATGATTACATCACATTAGAAATCAGTCAGGAACAGGTTCTAGAAAGTCAGGGTGCGGGAGAGCCCAGATGGGAGGTGAGCCCTCAGCACGGCCACCGGCCCCGGCAGGTCGCGGCTGACAGCCCTGCACTCACTCTTCTGCACCATTGCTCACATGGCCGGGAGGGAGGTGGTCTCAGCAAGTTCTCGCTCACAAAGAAATGCCTTCCTGCTGCCGAATGGGGTCTCAGAACCTGTCTCAATGTTTGGCAGCGTGATACGCAAATTCACATTTGAGTGATTGTTAAAAACTCTAAAGAAGCAGTGCATGACAGAAAGGTACCTGAAACGGGTCCATCTGTCTGTCGGGTGCCAGCCCTCTGCATCCCGCTCAGCGCCGCACGCAACGTCAGGAGGCTGGTGGTGCACAATTCGACATAAGGATCGTGGCTTTACCTGTGGGGTGGAACTGTGAACCACTTGAAAGACTACTTTTAAGATGTCAGTGCTGCAGACTTTACCTGCTGGAAACACCCCAGGTCATCCCATGCTTTCGCAGCGGGGCGCATGCCGGCAGAGTGACAGGAAGCCGTGGCTGGTCGGCCAACGGTTCAGGCTGCGTGCTAGGGGACCGAATGAGGGTGGCCTGCTCACCACGTTGTGATGTCTGGTTGTAGGAATGCCCGCTCCTTCCCAGCTCTTGTTTTCTGAATCAGAGCTGGTGTGACCGGTGGGCATAAAGAAAGCCAGCTGAACAGACGTGGCCCAGGCAGCTGGACGTGGTCAGCGACCAGACCACGGGGTGGACGGTCCCAGGAGAGCCCTGTCCCACAGGGTCTGCCACATCAGTGCTGGTCATTCAGGGCTTCTGGACTCCATGTCCCGTAAGGGGGGTGGTCCATCCAGCCCTGTGTCCCCGCTCACAGACGAGGCCTGCTCAGGGTGCAGGAGGGTGGCAGGTCTTCACTGTGTCAGTCGGGACTGGGTGTCCAGCTCGCGCAATCACGTGACATCAGACAGGGCAGGGCCCTGTGCTCTGAGCATCTTTAAAATCAGGCTCCATGTAAGTAGGAAGATGTTTCCTGGGTGCTTTCTGTTCTCCACACTAATCACGTCCCACAGTCATAGTCTGAATCCTCTCAGGAGACCCGCTGCATGCCAGCCACACCTGAGCACTGTCTACGCTCCTCGGTTCCTCCCTCGCAGCAGACCAGGAGACGGAGGCTGAGCTAGCCAGCTATTCTGTTCAGGGTCCCACAGCAATGAGTGCCACCTGGGTGCAACCCGGGCTCTGTGGACTCCTGTTCGCACCCCACGTTGCTGGTCATTCAGGGAGGTTCCCTCCGACCCAGAACCCAAGGGCGAGGCCGCGTGTTGCCAGGAACACAGCCGTCCTTCCTGGCTTTGTGACTTGTCTCCCTGTCGCCTCCCCCAGGACGCCGGAAGCCAGCAGATCGGGTTCTTGCTCGGAAGCTGCGGAGTCACCGTGGCCTTGACAAGCGACGCTTGCCACAAAGGGCTGCCAAAAAGCCCAACGGGGGAGATCCCGCAGTTCAAAGGTACGCCGCCACCCGGAGCCTTGCTGGGGACTCCACGCAGGAAGGTCCTGCGTCTCCTCAGGTCCCAGACACGCTCTTGTACACACAGCCGCCTCCCGTAACACGTCCCCTGTCGCCTGCCGTGTGGCCCGGTGTAGCTGGCGGTGTCCATGCTGCTGATGTGGTCTGAGGCTTGACGGCAGCACTGCAGGTCCCGCCTGGCTCGTGGTGCTGCCACATGGGCCACGGGAAGGGGATGGGATGCTGCGGACCTGCGTTCTGGGTCACGGTCCCCTGAGTGGGATTGTCCTTTATTTCCAAGGTTGGCCAAAGCTGCTGTGGTTTGTCACCGAGTCAAAGCATCTCTCCAAGCCCCCTCGAGATTGGTTCCCACACATCAAAGATGCGAACAATGACACCGCGTACATCGAGGTGGGTCGCAGGGCTACACGCGGGCTCCTGACGGGTGGGCAGACTGGACTGGCTGTCCCCTCGGAACCCCCGCCTGCACGGCGTCCTCTTGTTTCAGTATAAGACATGCAAGGACGGGAGCGTGCTCGGGGTGACCGTGACCAGGATCGCACTGCTGACCCACTGCCAGGCCCTCACCCAGGCGTGTGGCTACACAGAAGGTACAGCCGGGCCCCGACAGGAGACTGCGTCCCTGGGCAGAGGGTGTGGGCCGGCAGAGGGATTGTGTCACGTCCCCACCCCCACAGTAGGAGTAGTATCCCGTTTATGTGCGGCTCGGCAGCCGGCGCCTTCTCGTCCTCGCCAGGCCTCCCCTGCGCAGGGAGGGACAGCTCTTGTGGCTCTTCTGCTCAGGACGCCGGTCCTGGTGGGTCAGGCCCACCCCGGTGGCCTCACTTAACTGCATTTACCTTCACAGAGGCCCCATCTCCAAGTTGCACCATGCCAGGTGAGGGTTCCACCCATGAAGTCAGGGTACACCACTCAGGCTGTCACAGTTGATTCCATGAGAATTCATCCCTGGGTGCATGTTAGGGTCTTTTGGGGATCTTAAAAATAAAAGCCCATGTTCAGCCCTCCCTAGCACCTCAGAATCTCTGATGGGGTTTGTGCGAGCTCCCAGAGGTGGGCGACCGCAGTCCCGAGCGTGGTTTTCATGATGCGTGTTCTTTCCCCTGAGCGGACGGAGGTGGGGTCACCAGAAGTAGCCAGGGCTCATAAATGGCAGGGTCGACGCAGATACCCTGCTCCCCCCAGCTGGGGCTTCTGTGACCAGCTCCCTGCCCTGGGGACTGAGCGGCAGCCCCGCGGCTGGTGGATCGGGTGCTCTTCTCCTCATACTGTTCTCATTCTCTTGCTCTCTCCCCCCATCCTCCTGGTGATCTCCTTTGTAAAAAACAATCTGTTGGTGCCATAGGAACGTTCTGGCTAATGCTCAGTCCCTGGACTAGTTTCCAAGATGTTTTCCCATCGAGACACATGCCGCTGATCACTACCCCCCTGCTTGCCAGGGCTTTCCGTCTTAATTACGATGCTTCCTGCAACCTCCTGACCATACTCCTTGCCCTACTTCTCGGAGGTCCAGGGCTGTGGCTTTGACAGGTGTCACAGAGGAAATGTGCACACGCACACGCTCCATACTTCTGAGTGTAACATGCTTGTAGAAAATGGGACAGAGGACATTTCCTTTGAGCGTGGCCTCCTGTCCCCTCTGTGAAGTGAGGCACACGATACCAAAACCGTGGCAAGCCTCGCAAGAAGGAGCACGTAGGATGTAAGCGGAGGGGTTGGTAAATGCCCGGCGCGTGGCCAAGGTGGTATTGGGCCGATGCCCACACGGGTGGGCAAGCGTGACTCCAGAGGCCTAGCTCATGGTGTCACTGGCCCTCAGCGTGGCCCCTGTATTTTTAGCGCCCATTTCTTACCCCGTAACACTGGAGCACTCTTCTGTTGCTGCCCTTCCAAATCCTTGGTCTCCTTTGTGACCCCAACCCCGGCCTGAGGCTTCTAGTGACGTTCACCCTGCGTTTGCTGGGAAGAGTTTCCCATTCCTGGGAGAACCCATGATGGAAATGAAAAGAATCTTAAAAGAGAAAAGGACAAGGCAGGGAGGGGGAGTAAGTCCACGAAAAGGAGGAATGAAGTGCTTTAAGTGACATGTGAAGGGCTCTCACTGTGGACACGCGTGTCAGGAGATTATCCAGACGCTTCAGCAGGCAGGTGGCACAGCGTCTGCCCTACCAAGGCCTCTCCTGCCCCCAAGGTGACGTTGGATTCCCTTGGTCTGTGCGTCTGGTGGGAATACATGTCTTCTGTTTCTGTCTGTGCAGCGGAAACCATAGTGAATGTGCTGGATTTCAAGAAGGACGTCGGGCTCTGGCATGGAATCCTGACCGTAAGTGCGACCCCGTGTGTGCTGGCTGGGCTGCATGCCACGGCGGGAATTAGGGTCTGTGTGCAGGGCAGCTGGGGTTAGCCCCCTCCTCCCACATGGGGAGAAGGGCCGTCACTGTTAGCAGCCCTCAGCTATCCAAGAACGTGACTCCCAGTGCCCGGTCCCCTCTGCGGGAGTGAGCACGCGGACCCCTCCCCAGGCCCCGTCCCTTCCACCCCCGCGGGAGTGAGCACACGGACCCCTCCCGTCCCCCCACCTCCACGAGAGTGAGCACGCGGACCCCTCCCATCCCCCCCACCCCCGTGAGAGTGAGCATACAGACCCCCCCCAGGCTCCGTCCCTCCCACCCGCACGGGAGTAAGCACGTGGACCCCCCCAAGGCCCTGTCCCCACCACGCCCGCAGGAGTGAGAATACGGACCCCTCCCGTCCCCCACCACGGGAATGAACACACGGACCCCCCCAAGGCCCTGTCCCCCCCACCCCTGCGCGAGTGAGCTCATGGACCCCTCCCATCCCCCCCACGGGAATGACCACGCGGACCCCCCCAAGGTCCCGTCCCCCCCACCCCCATGGAAGTGAGTACACGGACTCCTCCCATCCCCCCCATGGGAATGAGCACGCGGACCCCTCCCGTCTCCCCCACCCCCGCAGGAGTGAGCACGCAGACCCCTCCCCAGGCCCCGTCCCTTCCACCCCCACGGGAGTGAGCACGCAGACCCCTCCCGTCCCCCCCACCTCCGCGAGAGTGAGCACGCGGACCCCTCCCATCCCCCCCACCCCCACGAGAGTGAGCATGCAGACCCCCCCAAGGCTGGGGTCTGGGGATGGGGTCCCTCCCACCCCCGCGGGAGTGAGCACGTGGACCCCCCCAAGTCCCTGTCCCCCCCCACCCCCACGGGAGTGAGAACACGGACCCCTCCTGTCCCCCACCACGGAATGAGCACCCGGGCCCCCCCAAGGCCCCGTCCCCCCCACCCCTGCGGGAGTGAGCACGCGGACCCCCCCGAGGCCCCGTCCCCCCCACCCTCGTGGGAGTGAGCACGTGGACCACCCCCAAGGCCTCGTCCCCCCCACCCCCGTGGGAGTGAGCACGCGGACCCCCCCACCCCCGCGGGAGTGAGCACGCGGACCCCTCCCCAGGGGCTCGCGGGAAACAGTATCTTTCCTCCCCGCTCCTGGCGTTCAGACTGCGGTGATGTTACTCACGTCTTGGGTCCGGGGCACTTCTCCCTTGCGTGTGATTTGGCTGTGATGTTCTTGCTCTTTTTCCTTTCTGTGAGTCTATGTTTGTGAATATTGTGGAAGCCGGCTCCGTTATGCTACAGGGGGAGACCTTACGGGTCTCCGCATGGTGACAGTTCGGCTCCCATGCCCCGTCGTTGTTAGTGCCATCTGATGAGGGAGGACAGTTCGAAGCTGCAGCGGGTTTGTGGACACACAGCCTTGTTATTTAAGATGTGCTCAGCCCTTAGCACATGCACAGTGTGACTGCTCACGGGCTGGCCGTGCGTGTCCTGGATGATGTCCACTCCCTGCTTCTCTAAGCTTGTGCTGGAACTGTCTTTGCAGAGGTAGAGAATTCTAGCGGCTTTTGCCTGAGCGATGGGACATAAATACAGAAGGCAGGATTTGTGGTTTCTCAGGCAGAATTTGTTAGGAGGAGAGCACACGAGCATCATCCAGACTGAGGGTTGGGGGTCCAGACTAGCCCTTCCTGCTGTGGTTCACCTCTGCCCCTGGATGCCGGGCCGTGGTAGGATGCGGAAACACAGCTCCATGTGGATGCTCCCGTGGTGACCGCAGGGGCGGGGACACCGGCTGGCCTCAGCCCTGCCTTCTGCAGCTCTGTGCCTCCGGGCCCGTCGCCCGCCCCTGGTCCCCCTGGACCACGGCGTTCCTACCTGTCGGACGCGGTGACGGTCCCGCGTGAGGACCGCACAGCCCGATGTGCGGCAAGCACGTAACCCACCTCCCTGCCCAGTGGTTGTGGCAGCCGCCTTCTCTGCTGCCATTCGTGTTTCTCCTTGACGTCACTGGGTGGGGACTGCTGTGACGGGCCTTGTTGGTGTTGTCACCCATGGCTCACCCTTCCCTTGGACCTGCAGGTTCTGAGTCTCTTGCAGCCACTTCCCAGAGCCAGTCCTGTCTCCTGCCAGACGCACACGCTCCTCTCTGGCGTCTTCTGGATGGCAAGTGGTGCTCTTGGTTCCCAGGGTGGAGCAGGCAGCAAGCTCGTGACGGGCCCAGGCCTGTTGTGTCCCCACGTCCAGCGTGGCGGGGTGCGGGTTCCTCTCCTGCTGGCATTTGGCAGTCACCCCATGTGTTGCTTGCAGAGTGTCATGAACATGATGCACGTGATCAGCATCCCATACTCGCTGATGAAGGTGAACCCCCTCTCCTGGATTCAGAAGGTCTGCCAGTACAAAGGTACGTCTCCAGGGCCCTCAGGTGTGTGGCTCCCTCTTTTTTAATAGCTCACGGTCTGATGGTGTGCTTATTAACGCCCTGCTCTCCACTGTTCCCGCAGCAAAAGTGGCTTGTGTGAAATCCAGGGACATGCACTGGGCGCTAGTTGCACATAGAGATCAGAGAGACATCAACCTCTCTTCCCTCCGGATGCTGATCGTGGCCGACGGCGCAAATCCCTGTAAGTGACCCACCTGTTCCACCTGGAGGTGCAGCCGGCAGCCAGAGAGCCTCGTTCTCCACATCCTGTTTCTGCACTTTGCTTTTGCTTTTCTAGTCGTTGCCTTGGTTAGGAAGCTGCCTTAAGTTAATGACCTCCCAGTGTGACTCACCGAAACCTCGAGGCACCACAGTCGGTGGCGGGGAGCCAGGAGCCCGCAGGCCCACCGCCCTGGGCTCGAGGCCCGGTGTTTCCACATCCTGATTCCATAGAGAAAAATCCTAACTTTCTGGTTTTAATCCTTCTCTTTCTTTAGCTGCAAAATGGTACCTAAATCATAAGATATTATGAGGATTAAATGAAGTGGTTTCTCTATCTTGGGATGTTTTGTGCTCAGGAAATAGTAATTTATTACTTTATGATCTATAGTAATTTTATTGATCAGGGAAGTAATATGTCATTTTAATGGAATTTCGTTATCAAATCCTATAGGAAACACCACCCAGGTAAAGCAAATTAGCAGTCCCATAGAATGCCATTAACCTACCTTAAGAAATACCGCTCTGGGTTGAAACAAAACGCAGCTAGCTTGTTTTTGATGAGAGTGAGTGAGCCAGAAGCAGAGTGAGTGAAGGAGAGCGTGTGTTTCTGTCCATCTGTAAATGGTGCCACATGTACATTCGTAAATTAAAGCAGCACATACTTTCTCAAAGAAAATCTGATACGCAAACAGGGGCTTGCAGTCAGAGGATTTAGTATTACTTGTATACATGATTCTTGCATTTCCCAGAGAACTCCATGAATTGCAAGCTGCTTTAAGGCATCTGGTTTGAGCCATCCGTCTGCTGAAGCCAGGCTGACCTGTGTTAGGAAGTGGTCTCACGGGTGGGCGCCTGGTGGTGACTCCCCCGATCTCACCAGGTGCGCTGATACAGGAGAGAGTTTTCTTCGCTTAGTTTAGACCTACTCATCTCAGAGACATGCATATGGAACATGGTGGAGCAGGCCTGGGGAAAGGCTCACAAGCTCATCGGCCACAGAAACGTTTAAATACAGAGGTTACACTTGTAATCCTTGAGTTCTGTTGGCCTGAAAGAATCACCTCTCATGGTAACGTGAGCAGTTAGCGGTACTGAATGGAGCGTGTTTCCGCGCGGCCGGCCTCAGCCCCACCTGAGAGGCGTGGGAGTGGTGGGGTGGCTGCGGTCGACCCTGCACTTCTGCAGGCTGACTGTCACCCCTTCCTCCTGCAGGGTCCATCTCGTCCTGTGACGCATTTCTCAACGTCTTCCAGAGTAAAGGCCTGCGTCAGGAGGTCATCTGTCCATGCGCCAGCTCCCCAGAGGCTCTCACCGTGGCCATACGGAGGTACAGCCGGGCCCTGCAGGGCCGGCCTGGGTGGGGGGCTGCCTGCCGCAGCTCATGTCTGCGGGGCGGGGAGGGCAGGACCCAGCCTGTTCGGGACCAGCTTCGTTTCCTTGCATGCACAGGAATGGGCCCTTCAGCATGGTCCTCATTCGCTAGTCAGAAACCCTCTCTCCCTCTGGGCAGTGACCCTGTCTCCCAAGTAAGTGGACGCCCATATGCTCGTCACCCACATGTCCACGTGCTACCGTCTGGGTCAGGCGTTATTCTGGGGCGGGTTGGGTGAATGCTGTCTGGTTTGAGTGCAGTGTTTGCAGCCGGGCCTATGGACGTGCCCAGTGCGCCACGACACCCTGAATTTTTAAAAACCCTGGTTTTCTGAGCTGTTGAGCTATGGATGGCCCATTGCAGGGCTCCAGTGTGCACGTGGGTGTGGGCCTGCATCGCTCATGCCCTCGGTCGTGGTTCAGTCCGCCTTCACCACCTGCCCCAGCGCCACGCGCACTGTTCCAGGTGCCGTGGCTACGGCCGCGTGAACCTGATCCCACCCAGGCTGAGAGGTGCAGGGAAAGCCTCTCTGATCGTCACCCGCCGTCCGCCATCCTCACAACGTGGGAAGGGAGCGTTGGCATCATCTGGGTACTTCCAGCTCGGGATCTGACTTGTTTTTCGGTATCTGGGCGTCCGTCCGCTCATGAGGTTTTGCTCTGCGTCACATGAGCGTGCTCCACTGTAAGGGGCGCAGAGCACGTGGAGTTCCGCCCTCTTACTGACAGGCTGGGCTTCCCAGAAGTACTCACTGGGAGACTGTTTGTAAATGAGATGCTTTCTCACAGTTTTAGCTGGTAGTTAGTGTAAAATTAGCCAGACTGTCTAACGGGCTGGGAAATCAAAAACCTTTAGCATATCAGGAGCAAGTTTAATTTTGATTGAACCAGAAATCAGAAGTCCGTAACAATGTAAACTGATGAGGAAAAACAGCACCATGAACCACCTTTGTTAGAAGGTGTCACAGCTGTCCTAGCAGGAGGCGCCCCCCAAACAGTCCCCCAAGTGGAAGTCTGGCCTCGGACAGAGCGCTGGAAGCCGCGCTGGTGGACGGGCCAGCACCGCGTTCTTCCAAGATCAGGATTCAGCCGTCCCGGTGCAGCCCGGCCACGGGGTCCCGGGCGGGTCCTCTCTCCGTGGCCTCCGCGGCCTCCCACCTGAAAGCGTTAGGGTTGTGCCGCGGTGTGACGTAGCGCCGTTGCCACAGGTAAGTCACAAGGTGAGGGACTGAGACACGTGGACACTCCAGCTGTTAGCGTCCGATGGTGTGATTGTGTGCTCTTTCTAGAAATCTGTTTTCTGTGCGTTAGGATTATGGACTATGCCAGAGTTGCTTGGCACAGGGAGGAGTCAGTGAAGGACTTGTAGTTGTTTCTCTAAAAATGTAAAATCGTTAAAATCTTCAAGAAGATTAAGAAACAGGCAAATTAAGTGCTGCTATTTCCTGGGCTCATGTTCAGTGGCCTCCAGTGCACTTCCCCTGGGGTCAGAGGCCGCACACGTCCCCGCGCGTCACCATGCTTCCCATGCATCCCTGCGTGTCCCCATGTGTCCCCATGCTCCTCACGCATCCCTGTGCATCCTCATGCTCCCCACACGTCCCCATGTGTCCTCATGCATTCCCGCGCGTCCCCATGCTTCCCACGCATCCCTGCCTGTCCCCCCCCATGCTCCTCACACATTCCTGCACATCCTCATGCTCCCTGCGTGTCCCCATGCGTCCTCATGCTCCCCGCGCATCCCCATGTGTCCCCATGCTTGCTGCACATCCCGTGTTCCTGCGTGTACCCATGCTATGCACATCCCTGTATATCCCTACATGTCCCCATGTATCCTTATGCTCCCTACTGTCTCCATGGTCCTCACACTCCCTGCGTGTCCCCGCACGTCCCCACACAACCCCTACACAGACCTGCCTTGGCTGAGTGCACCATTATCGGGCTGGAAGGGGTGGATTCAGAGTCCCTCGACCTTCACTGCCAGAGCCTGTGGACATTGCTGCTCCTGCGTGTGAGGCTGAGGACTGGCCGGCTCCTGCTCTGAGCAGGGGAGAGAGCAGCCATACTTGCAGAGACACGAGTCCACCAGCCAGCCTTGCTTTGAACCGAGTTGGCTTCTCTCACAGCCGACCACGGTCTGGCGGCCACTCTCACATCCTCAAGGTCTCGTCTGCTATTTCCCAATTAGGCGGTAGAAGAGCAAGGAGCCAGGACAGGGCAGTGGATACCAGTGAGCTCAGAGAGAGGCTCACTCTTTCCTCAAACACCGTTGATTGACAGGCAGAGTGATTTCGTGTCTGTCACCCCTACAGTGAAAAATACCATACAACCGAAAGGTGCATCAGTAACACGAAGAAACTCTCAGTTTCCCTAACATGTAGTCTGTAATCCTTGCTTATATTCTGGTTTACAGACTTTGATATAAAGTGGTCTTTGCCTGGTGGCTCACCCTGAGCTTTTTTCTAAATGAAGACACCGTCTTCTCCCAGAGAATCCTAGGCTCATCAGCCACCTTCCGGGTCTCTCCGCAGACCCACCACTCCTTCAGTGCTCAAGAATCACAGGAATGCGCGTTAACTGCTCATGGCTGCGTGTCTGGAAGGGGAAGTGAGAGACTCATGTTGCTGGGACCCACTTACCACGGGCAGAGCCCCGTTCCCGCCTCACACGGGTCAGTGGTGGGTCGAGTGTTGGCCTCTGGTGGGTGCAGCAGAGTTGCTCCGGAGGAACAGCTGAGCCTGACATTGTCTGCGCCGTCCTGTCCTTGCCGAAGCCGTGAGGGTTTAAATGTGTCTGTTCGTTTTGCCATGAACTTTCCGGGCTGCCTATTTCAGAATAAAGACACGAGCCCTATGCTGGGGAATGGCCCCATGGGGATGGCCCAGTGCGTCCTGAGGACTCTCGACAACGGTCCGCTGGCCCCGGGCCTCACGGTCACTCCTGGTGACAGTGAAGCGTGACCCCTTCCACTTTGCTCCTACGTAAAGCAAGGGGCCATAAGATCCACAGGGGGAAAGGTCTAGTTTTAATGCTAAGATATTTGTGTTTCCCTATTGACGTATTGGTTCTGGCCAAAAAAAGATAATTTTGGAAAAGATCCTTGTAAGAAATCGAGGGTCTTTATACATTATGGTTTCATCCCTTCGAAGCGCTCACAAGCACGTGTCTCTGCACTGTTCGCACTGTCCTTGGTTTCACATCCCTCTGTGCCTGTGGCCAAAATCGAAGTAGAAGGATATTCTAGAAATCTAGACTAAAATCCCCACGGAGACACCTGAAGTGAAGAAGCAGAAGAAGCAGGCTGCAGGTAGCATTAAAAGTCATGCTGCAGTTCTTAAAACCAGTGCTTTTGGACAGTGCCTCGTGTGTCTTGGCTGAGTGACTTCATGTCCTGGAGACGTCCTGGGTCCTGGGGAAATGCGGCCTCTGATTGCACGCTCCCGCCCAGAGCAGATCTGGGGAACAGCGCCCTGCCCAGTACTGTGCACGCGGGCGAGCAATCGTGCTGTGTGGGCCGAAGCCGCCGGCAGACCCCTTGTGCTGAGAAGCTGCATGGTAGTGCTCCGGTGAGACTTGGCATCACAGGCTGCGTCCTCATCCCTCGGAGAGAATCTGTGGGTCCCGTGGACACAGTTCAGGCTGCGCTGCAAGACCGGGCCGCTGGTGGGTGTCCACCAGATCCGTGCTGGGGCGTCACACCCCTTGCGTTGTCTGCCCAGAGTGGTATAGATTCAGGAGATTTCTTTTAAAAAGTGTCATCGTGATTTCAAGGCCACCTTATGCAGCAAAGAGGCAGGTCTCTACAGTGACTGATTCTCTGCTGTGTCCCCATGGACCAGTTATCCTCTGAGACCCTCAATTTCTCCACCCACAGAGGAAGAAAATATGAACTGGTGTGTGTGCTAACACGTGTGCACACACCCCCAGTCCCCGATGAGAACACATGTGTCTGCTAACATGTATGCACACACACACACACACACCCGGTCCCCCTGCCCTGGTCGTCAGCCCTTGGCCCAGCAGCTTGCAGTCTGGGCCCTCACCCCCCGCCCACCCCCCCCACCGCAGGCTGCATAGCTTCTCCCTGTCCACAAAAACTTAGGTTAGATCCAGAACTGTGCAGAGACTGGACACTGGTTTCCATCTCTTAGATTTTGGCCATTGTCTTGGCAATTCAGTTCTCCTTTCACGTGGGAAGGAGGGTGGCAGGTGGAATGCACACAGATTTCAGTGCAAGCATCCTCCTCCAGCAATGTCTGCTCCCACTTTCCTTCAGAGAAGCTGTGTAAGCAGTCTGAACCTCCGGCTCCCCCACCTCCCTGCCACCCGGCCCCCTCGGTGGCAGCTCGGCTGCAGGAGTGCATGCTGCTCCCAGGTCTGGCCGCGCTCCATCCCTCCCTCCGCGCCACCCGGCCCCGGCCTCCTCGCTGTTCCCCTACCGGCAGGCCCAGGAGCTTGTGCTGGAGCCGTGTGGCCTGCCCGCCGAGCCCGCCTTTGCTGGCGTCCCGACCGTGGTCCTCCGGGCTTGTCGCCCTCCCCTCCTCTTCCCTTCACATTCTCCACCTCCCCACGTGCCATGGGACTTACGGGTGTCTTCATTGTTCAGTCTGTCCCGGCCTCGTAGATACTTTTTGAATAAACGAGTGAAAGAAGGATTTTCAGTATGTGAAGGACCTGCGCACGCGCTTGCCTCTGAGCACCTTGCAGACTCTCCAGAAGCAGTGCTGAGAAGCGCCAGAGCTTTTCACAGGCGTCCCGGTGAGACCAGCTCATGCACATGTGCAGGCGGGTCTCTAGCTCGTGTTTGGCCGAGTGGAGTCGTGTGTTCTCCTCTGTCTGCGTGTTTGCCTTTCTCACGACGATCCAGGTGCAGCTCTGAGCCTAGAGTTTGGTGTCATATTCTGGTCTCCTGATTCAGCAGCAGCAGGAGGGCCGTGTCCTTACCGCCACCTGTGG